GTTGCCGAAGTCGGTGTTTTGGATATGTTGAAGGTGAGTCCTGCCGGCTTTGCGTCTCCCTCTGCTATTCACAGTGGTCGCCGGCACTTAGTTTGCAGACTTCACCATCGGTCAGTCTCCATGTGTACCAATGTAGGGTTGGCTTGTTACTCATCCAAGGCTCACAGGCAAAGCATGGGTATCTGACTACGGTGATCCACACAATCCCCACGACTTTGACTTCATATACCCCATTTCTCCGCTACACAATGTGCCGACAGACAAGGTGTTGCCGCCATTGCTACTGATGACTGCCGATCGTCAGTACAATAGCACCCATCTATTACTGATACCCCCAGCTGACGGCTGTCTGCATGTAGATGACGACCGTGTTGTTCCTCTACATTCGTTCAAGCACGCGGCGACGCTCCAGTATACCTTACCTCACAACCCTCATCCCCTTCTCATCAGAATCGATAAGAAAGCTGGTCACGGGGCCGGTAAGGCTACTGAGAAACGGTACGTTATCTCGTCCGCGTGGAGCATCAAAGATGATAATACTAATCCACGCGCAGGATCCAGGACGCAGCGGACAAATGGGGCTTCGTAGCCCAGTCTTTGGGTCTGGCATGGCAGGGGTCTTGATACGCCCTCCGATATTGCATGGATGAAGTCATACGTGGAAGTGCTCAATTTAGACAGAAGAAGTTCCTCGACGAACGATAAAACATTTCGGGGCGTTGCCCCGATGGAAAATCTAGAAGTAACGACTGGCATTGTTATCACGCAAAATGAACAATATAACTACATCCGAGCTTGATTTTGACGTCATATGAGCGGTCCGCTGCGATTTTGCATGTGTCCCAGTTGATCTGATATCCACATGTGTGTGAAGACACCTCACGAGCTGTTGGTGCGAGAGGGGATTTCCGTTTTTAGGACGCGGGTGCCTTTCTGTCTTGGAACGGGTGCTGTATGTATGTGACAAAAGTTAAACTAATCACACTGTGCAGAACGAAGCACGATGGAAACGACCAACCGTTCGTATTTTGGGTGAAATAGAATCGCCGCAAGATCATGATAGCCTCTTCGCGGAGAAAACCGCCGATGGCATTGTAGGCTGGGTGCACGGGGTGCTCCGAACTACGGGAGGGACAGGAGGAGGATCAGAAGAAAGAGGTGGGGGAACGGGAGGATGCAAAGGAAAAAGGTTACCGACGGTGCGTTTACACCCAACACGCTTCCACATCCCCCAAACTTGTCGTTCTCGCAGCCGTAGAATACTTGCTTGATTCCGAGTTGCCGGAGGGCGGAGGCGCACATGATGCAGGGCTCCACCGTGACGTAGAGGGTAGTATCAAAGAGAGGATATCGGTTGGAGGGAGTGGTAAGCTCGCCGCCATCGTCGTCATTAGCGAGAATAAGATCGACGGCCTCAAGCTCGGCATGTCTTGATGCCTGGATATAGACGTGGGGCTGGGTGAGGGAGTGTGCGCAGTGAAGGAAGGGCTATCTTACATTGCGAAGTTCGTTAGTTCTGTTCCGTGCTTTTGCGATGGCCTCGCCGTTGCGCACGAAGACACACCCTACAGGGACTTCTCCCGCTGAAAGTGCCTCTTCCGCCTGTATATAATGTGTTGTCAATCCGTTATTACGCGCAGCACGGTGACCGCAGTCGGCACACACACACCATGGTCATCGCCACGCGCATCCAGTTGAGGTGGACGGAATCTGGATCAGAACGATCTGAGCCGAGGACCAAGTGGTCATCAGCCATATTGTCGTGTGTGAGACTCTGAAGACCATGGTGAATACTTGAGTGTCGGCCGTGACCAGCGACGGGCCACACGTCGCACAAATTCAAATATCAACCCCCGTCCAACTAGCATGATCCAAAAACACTGCAGAGTCTCTCTCACTCTCTGAGATCTGAGACTCGGTCGGCATTGTTAGTAGCTGTATGGCCTAGGAGGCTGTTCCATTTGGGCATAGCCGATGATGATTCCTGTTAAAGTGCCACTGCTCCTCACTTCTCCACAGACTAACCCACTGATCCTCACATTTCTATCAGTACCAAATGACCCTCGAGCCACGGCTTGCCTCGGTTCCCGCAACTGGTAGCGTCGGCACGGAGTCCGGCGCTTTGGAAACCAGCAAGGGCACATTCTACGTCTCAAAGCCGTTCCGTTCAAAAACTTCCAAGAAGCTGCGCGCTATCGTCACCTTCGAGCCCCGCAAGTCTCATTTTGACACGACAAACGAGCGGTCGGGGACGAACGAATTCCGCGTGAGTGTACTATTCGTCTCGCCGCCATGTTGAGCGAGGCCAACTGTTCTGGGCTTTTGACATCTGTGATGTATATGACAACAGGGCTTCTTCACGCTCTTCTGGATTTCTCTGTTCCTCTTTACCGTGCAAACGTACATCTCCTCGTTGGAGGCAAACGGATATGCGCTCTCTTTTGCTTTCGCTACCATGTTCTCTCGCGACGCTATCGTCCTCGCAATATCCGATGCGGTCCTCGTTCTCACGACGGCGCTCTGTGTTCCGTTTGCCGAAGCCGTCATGCGTGGCCGATTGAGATATTACTGGGTAGGCGTGGTGCTACAACATCTCCTTCAGACTACCGTATTGGTTGTTGCTATCGTATGGACTTACCACCGGTGCGAATTTCGTATCTGTGCCTTTTCCTTGTTCCGTTCGCTCATATAAACCACACCGTTCACTAGACAATGGCCATGGGTACAGTCCGGCTTTTTGACACTACATTCCTTCGTACGTCCTTTGCCCGATTGTTCCTTACGCAGTCATTCACGACGTCACAGGTGATGATTATGAAGATGCATTCGTACATCTCTATCAACGGCTACTTACAAGACGTTCTGGAACGTTCGCAGCGCGCGTATGAAGAGCTACAGAGTCTTACTAAGGCACAAGTCAATGGAGGCTGGGAAACTGCATTGCACGAAGCTGAAGCTGAAGTCAAGGAAACGTCTAAGAAGAAAGACAAAACCAGCGGCGCCGACGCTAGTGGAAGTCACGACTCATCCATAGGGACTCCGGAGGCGGAGGCGGTTATCCATTCCCTTGCAGATCCGAGCACTGCGGATGCTCTGCGCCGCAGATTGGTGGCTGTCTCCGAAGGGCAAGACCCTGACAAACTAGACAGCGGGACGTCTGCAGTCACTGCATTCAATGTTAAGGGAGCGAGTTCTTCCACGTACACCCCTTCATACCCTGCAACTCCACTTCCTGCGCGCGGTGTTTCGCAGGAGGTTACCTGCGCTTCGCTATTGATCCACCACCCAAATCCTTCCATTACTTCCGCCGCCCATAAATTCTTGGACTTGGACTCTGAACTCGTGTCGACGGGACCGAAGAAAATACGCTATCCGGAGAACGTGACATTGGGTAACTTTATCGAGTATATGCTTATTCCGACGTTGGTCTACGAGTTGGAATACCCCAGGACTGACCGGTGGGTCTTTTATAATGCGGATGTTCCGTCACCAATGTCATCGCTCGTGCAGTATTCGTCCCTTGTACGTGTTCGAGAAGACTGTCGCCTTCATGGGTTCTTTCGCGCTGCTTTACACGGTCACGGAGAGTTTTATTATTCCCCTCACACCTACCCCCGGCCAGTCATTCCTCCGAAGCTTATTGGATCTGGCGCTTCCATTTATGATCGCATATCTTTTATTGTTTTATATTATATTCGGTGAGTGTTTCATAGGGGTTCCGTTCGCCTAGTACTCATGGCATACAGAGTGCATATGTAATGCTTTTGCGGAGCTGTCTTGGTGAGAAACTTTCGTACGATATTTGCGGTGGACTAACTTTGATATATTCAGCTTTGCCGATCGACAATTTTACGAGGATTGGGTGCGTGCTGTTCAGTACGGTTGTAACATGGCTAACTTTCACGCCACAGTGGAATTCCACGTCTTGGGACGAGTTCTCTCGTAAATGGAACAAGCCTGTGCATACCTTCCTGCTTCGACACGTCTATGCATCCACGCTCGCATCTTACCCCTCCGTGTCTCGTACGAGTGCGATGGTGATGACGTTCCTTCTCAGCGCAGCTGCCCACGAGTTAGTAATGGTGATCGTGACTCACAAGATACGGTGCGTAATGCAGCCAATGCAGCCACGCGAACTCCTAACATGTGGATCGGATCCAGACTCTACCTGTTCCTTATGCAACTCGCTCAAATTCCCCTTATTCTGGTAACTAGGGCGTCTGTTATCAAACAGAAAAAGCTTCTTGGAAATGTGGTGTTCTGGATCGGATTGTATGCAGGATTCCCCCTCTTATGCGTCGCCTATGTTGTCTATTGATGATGAGGATGCGCTGCCAAGTACCCAGCAAGTCAGGCAATTCTCGTCGTCGCATAGTTACCCTACACGTTCGTTCGCTATGCCCAGTATATCTCATATATCTTTTTTGTAATCCCACCGTAAGGATATAACCGTAGTCATAGAACGATTACCTTCTCTTGAATCTTTTGGTCTGTACATGGGGAGACTAGGATATAATGGAGTTGTACCCGATCCTGCGGTTCTCCCTCCGCCACTGGCGCCGTCCTTTGGTAAGCACCTTGCACGTAACGTAGACAGCAAGGGCGGACAGCATGCTCGAGGCCCGTACATCCACCATGTGTCGGCAGTGCAATGGCAACGAGTCATCTGCGGCGGGCATGTGAATTTTCCTGACGGAACGAGGCTGGAATCCCAGAAGTTCGGGCCCGCTGATAAGGAAGCACGTGTATCAGTCACAGGCTTAGCTAGCGGCCCCTTGCGCCTCGGGAAGATTAAACGCTCGAGATTTCAAAAGCGTTGATGCAGGTGGACAAGAAGTCACATGAACCAGACCATAAGGGATTTGAGATGTTCGGAGTGCCCTCCCAGGCTTGCTGCTTGGGTATGGCCTTAGAAATATGCTTCCAAACAAAAGGAAGCCTTCCTTTGTAAACTTGAAAAAGAGCGGCGCCGCTGGCTCGTGAACAAAACAAAAACATTACTCGGATACGGGGAATCGAACCCCGAGCTGCCGCGTTTGGGAACCTCACGATATGAGAGGCGGCAATGTTAGCCGTTACACCATATCCGACACAAAACAGTGGCTGCTATGCACAATAAATCACCTCCGTTGATTTTCAGTGAAGGCACGGAGGCACAGGAACATCGCACGGCAAGAACTTGCTACCGGTCCCTCGAGTTCCTAAAGCATGCGATTTCACGATAGGCTGATTGAATACCTACACTCGTGGTCGAACACCGAGGCCCGGTTTGACGTCGAGAACGGATGGCTGGTTAGTTACATAAGCTTTGGCATGAGCTACTTGCTATGCATGGATTGAATCGGTATGTTCAGTGGAGGCACATGCCTGTGTCGTGGCTTCGATAAAGTTATTTTGTTGGAGTCCATATTGGAGAAGAGGAATATGGTATTACAGCGTTGGAGCAAGGATTGGGACGGATGAGTCCTGTGCCATCCAAACTGGCGCAACAGGGCAAACAATGATGTCTGTCAAGTTCACGGCTGACAACTTGCATGGACCCGGCTCCATGATGGCCTGCAGGCGTTGCTCGGGATTCGGGATAGGGCGTATCCGCTGTCCACAAACGGAAGGCAAGACAAGGACCTGGAACCGAACAAACGACGCCCGCTGGAGTGTGCCATAATAATAACGAGACCTCCGGCCTCGCGGCTGCGTTGCAGCCTGCTGCTTCGCAGCAAGATCGTCTCCCCCCCACGCTGCTCCGCAGCAAGATTGTCTCCCCCCCCACGCTGCTCCGCAGCAAGATCGTCTCCCCCCCCATGCTGCTTCGCAGCAAGATCGTCTCCCCCCCACGCTGCTCCGCAGCAAGATTGTCTCCCCCCCCACGCTGCTCCGCAGCAAGATCGTCTCCCCCCCCATGCTGCTCCGCAGCAAGATCGTCTCCCCCCCCCACGCTGCTCTGCAGCAAGATTGTCTCCCCCCCCCATGCTGCTCCGCAGCAAGATCATCTCCCCCCCCCACGCTGCTCCACAGCAAGATTGTCTCCCCCCCCACACTGCTCCACAGCAAGATTGTCTCCCCCCCCCACACTGCTTCACAGCAAGATTGTCTTCCCCCCCCTCCACAGCAATGTTGTCTTTCCCCCCTGGCATGGAGTGCATTCACTGAGTGCCATGTTTCAATTCCCTTATTTACAAACTTTCATAATTCTATCTACTGGTACAGTTTTGCAGTTACAAATCAAATATCCAAATGTCTAAATACCTCAGCCCACACTACATTCCTTGTCTTCATGTTGTCCTGTCCTTCCTTCAACAGAACTTTGATCCTTCTGGGATGAGTACAACGTGACAGAGCCACATAGAGTTGACCATGAGAGAAAACTTCAGAGCGCAAATCTATCCCAACATTCTTCACTGATTGTCCCTGTGACTTGTTGATGGTCATTGCATAGGCCAGGTGCACAGGGAACTGCCTTCTACGAAAAGGAACAGGGGAATCTTCAAGTCCACATTCCAGGGCAACTCTGGGGATCAACACCACCTCTCCATCTCCACCCTCTTTCAACACACGACACTCCAAGATCCTAGGTGTGGATCTAATCAACCTCAGTCTGGTCCCATTGTACAGTCCATGGATTGGATCCAAGTTGCGCAACAACATCAGGGGTACTCCTTTCTTCAGCTCCAGTTTGTGCAGTGGAAATCCAGAGGGGGACAGGGTGTGTAACATCTCTGGCTGGACATACTCATACTCCCCATCAGTCACAGAGTCTGCACTGGTATAGGTCACTCTCTCCTGTGGTTGGACAGCCTCCAGAATGATGGAGTTGATCTCATGCACCTGCACATTCCTAGGGGTAAGGATGGTACGATCCAGGAAATACCCATCTGCCAGTGGCTGGTTTGGTTGCAGGGCCAGGACCTCAGAGTAGATGGCATCCACCAGAGAGGCCAATCCATCCCCACAATGCATGTGCTGAGGCAGCTCCAATTCTCCATCAGTGGTCCCTATCTCCAGGAGACGTCTTGCCCATTCATCACATTCAGGATCCTGCCCAAGACGCATGTTCTGGTTCAGATAATGCACTGACATCTGGGTCCACAGGTTGGAGTGAGTGAGTGTAGCAGGCACGATCTGCTCCCTGGAACCATGCTGAATGACAGGGAGTGTCTGCCTGAAGTCCCCACCAAGCAAAGTAGTGATGCCCCCAAATGGCCTATCCTGATCCATCAAGTCCCTCAAAGTCCTATCCACACATTCCACCACATGACGATGTTGAGAAGCAGCTTCATCCCAGATGATAAGGGAGGTCCTCTGAATCAGCTCATGGTTCATGTCATCCTTCTTGATGTTGCAAACACTCTGCTCATGGATGGGGATGGGGATCTTGAACCTGGAGTGTGCTGTACGACCACCAGGGAGGAGGAGGGAGGCAATGCCAGTGGAAGCAACACACAGCACTATCCTGTCCCTTGCTCTGACAGCCCCAGCAATGAGGTTGGCCAGATAGGTCTTGCCACAACCACCACCACTCTGAAGGAAGAACATGGTCCCCTGTGCACCCATCACACTGTCCAGCACTGCCTGGTAAAGTTGCCTCTGCTCCACATTCAAAGTCTCCTGCCCCCTCTCCACAAACCCCTGCAACTCTGGCACCATCAAAGCCAACTGTTCATTGATCAGCTGGTTCCCTTCTCGACGACCCCAGTCCATCTGTGGCCTAGGCATTTCAGGATAATCTTGTAGGCTCTTTCCATGTCTACGAAGGGCTTGAGAGATCAGGTGGAGGCCATAGTCATAGATCTGCTCCTGGGTAGGCTCAGGAATGTTGAGGACCCTGATCAGGTGACGATTCAGGTCATCACAGAGGTTGTCCCTGGATGCCTCCCACAGGTGATTTGGATCCACTGGAGCACCATGCACCAGGATGATCACAAAAAGTCGACGCAAGTGGGAACCCATCTGGAAGTGAGCAGCATCCTGCAGACACAACAACCACTCTCTATCATCCTGCAACAAACCACGTGCACGACAGGCCTCCTTGAAGGAATCATGAAGCTGACCATCCACAGAGCGAAGATCCTCAAAGGAAGTTGCACCTGAAAGAGATGTCAGATGGGGAGATGAAAATGAGATGACGGCAGACCTACCCTTGACCTGGGTGAGCAAAAGACGGAGGTAGAACTTTTCACCAGCTGATGGATACACAGCATACATCCTTCCAATGGCCTTGTACCTCTGCCTCACTTTCCACACAGCATGCTTCTTATCCCACACAAACTTCTTGGGGAACTCCTGGTACAGAAAATCATGTGCCCCAGCAGCTATCAGGACAGGGTCCCTGTTGGCCTCAAACCAACCCATCAGTTGGGTGTTCTTTGGATTGCCCACCACATTCTGAATGTCATCCTCAGCACTAAACACCACAGTCTGTTCTCCTGGAAGGTGGACTGGAAGACGATACACAGCAGGCCACTCCATGTGCATGGGGAATTCAAAGATGTTGTGACATGCCTGAGTGGAGGAGATGTATCTTGCATCAAGGTAGGAACGAATCTCATCATGTCCCTCCTGCTGCACAGTGGCTCTGTCTGGACCTTTGTAGATGTACTTGTGGATATACTTGACTGCCTTTATAGAACCACAGACCTCCAGGTTGATGTGGCAGTCAAACTTCACCAGAAGTTCCCTTGGATGGGGGACCACCACACTGTTGTCAAAGACATTCTGATACTTCTCCACTGTCCTTCCATTCTGAGGGCGAGCATAGTCAGGATATCCATCCTCCTTTATGATGGTCTGAGCAGCAAAGGCCTTGGGGAAGCGCTTCTTGCAAACATTGTTCTCTATACACCTCTGAGGGGAGCAGGGACCATGAAGCATATACTTGGAGACAGCCTGGTGAAGTTGGGGGTGGAGATTGGGGTCAGGGATCTGTGCTGAGATGATGGCATCCACCTGCTCCACAGAACGAATCTTGTCCTCCTCCTCCTCCAAGAAGATCAACAGGTGCATGTGAGGGAGACCACGCTTCTGGTACTCGATAGTGTAGACAAATCCAGCCACCTCTCCAAAGTAACCACCCCTGATCATCTTCAACAAAGCTTCCTTCTTGGCATGGAAAACACGGGTGACCAAGTCAGGTCTGTCAACTGGTGACTGCCCTGTGTCATGATGGTGAGTCAATGATAGCCAGAAAAAAAAAAAAAAAAATCCAAACATACCTGGGAAGAGATTCTCAGTTATCTCAGGCCAACTCCCATTTGCAGTCATGGTGAGGAACAGGTCAGGCTTCTTGTACTCTCTACAGATGGCCAGAGAATCCTGAAGCAGCTGGTTCATGTAGCGAGGACCCCCCTTATGAGTGGAAGGGAGGATGACAATGACCAACACCACCCAGATCTTGATCAGGATCTTGAGCCAGACGATCCTGCAATCCACTATACAACTCTGCTCTGAGCTTGGTCTGATTGTTGGCCACCCAGGTAAGGTTGCACTGCTCAATGGAAGCCCACCCATCACAGACCAGCTGTTGGAAAAGCCTGCCAGCCTTGAAGAGATTGGCTGGTTCCACCTGAGGAGGACGAACGTGCAAACGATATGCATACCAGAGTATTTGAGTGACCTTCTTGGAGCGATGATTGCCACCACCAGCTACCTGCAAAGGAATATCCAGGTGCCACCCTTCCTGTCCATGGGGGAACAATAGCACATAGTGGAGTGGGAGGTAAGAGGGATGGAGGTTGCTGATGCGACGTAATCCCCCACCCTGCAGACGTAGAATGATGTCCCTATCTTTCCTCACAATCTCTGATCCATCTCCTGGCACAATGGCAGCAATCTCATCCACAGTAGGGAGATTGTATCTCCTTCCATCAGTACCCTGCTGTAGGTAAAGACACATGCAGACATCTGTATGCTGCTCTGGGGGTTTGGCCTGCATGATTGCATGGGCCTGCTGATAGACTGCAGCATAGGGGTGGTGCTCTCTCAGAGTGGTGTGCAAGTCCAGCAAGATGTCACCATGCAAGTCAGGGTTTCTCCTCAAACGGGTGTTTGTTGCCTCCTGTGGGTCATAGATATAGAGCTGAGCATAGGAAGGCTG